ATTGCTTCAGATGGTTCGAATTGCTAGTATCATGCCAATTAATGTTAAAATCACCCGCAAGTATATTTAATTTACTAGAATCTAAAAATGTCTCGAACCAGTTCTCTAAAATTTCAATAAAACGCTGATTACTTGAACTGGGAGAATGATACAAAACACCATAATTACCCATCTTCATGCCACGTTCAACTGTAATGCCTAAGAACCAATTGCCATCAATAACTTTGTTTTGGCGAAGATTGAATTGAACTGATTCTTTGACATAAATAGCAACACCGCCAGTGTGCCTTGAATGTGACAAACAAGCAGCAGCTTTATATCCCGGAATGCTATACTGATCAAAAGATTCAATTTCTACAATATGTGTTTCTGCTAACAAAACCAAAAGTGGACGATTATCTTCTACAATCTGACGTAATGTTACGTAGTTTGTAGATAACCCCGCAATATTCAAATACAAAATCTCTAATTTACTCACATTACTACTGGAACTTGGTTGCTATTTATTGAAATGTAAGCTGCTTTTTTTCTGATCATATAGTTTTTTATACACAAAACAATTAGAACTAAATGCTGCGTGGTTGACGTCCAGATTTAATTTACGCTCTTTATTAGTTTTTAAACAATTAACGCATTTCAATACAGTTGACGTACACTTAGAGGTGCTATGTTGTTTGCTGCATCTAGAGCATCGTTCGCAATTTTTGCAATCCGTGCTTTTGTGCCCAAATTCTCCACATCTGAAGCATCGCAAAACATTAATCGCGGGAACTATCGAGCACCGATCAAACCCTACATTTACTTTTTTCGCACATAACAAACATTTATACGTCTCGATATCGACTTCAATCACAACACTAAACTTGTTGTAAGTGAAGCGTGGATTTTCAAACATGTTAACTACTTTTACATCATTAATTGCGATGTCTTCATTTTGACTTTTTAAGAAGTCAATGAAGACATCGGAGGAATACTGATCGCTCCTACTGATTAAGAGAGCTGTCTAAGACTGTTCTTTTTTTGAGTTCATATATTGTGTGGCAAGTACACTGTCCAGGGAAGTCGAGAAATTATCCAACCCATAAAAAATTCCTATACCGAACCGGGAATCGAACCCAGCCGCCTCCAGCATGTTCCTGCCTAATAGCTGCGCCTTTACCCACTGAGCTTAGGGAGGCCCCACCAATGAAAGTAGTAAGGTTTGAATACGCTTAAATTTATATGAAATATCGTGTAGCCTTGTTCTGCGTTACTTGTTTGCTCTAAAAAAATATTTTTCGACAAATCTGCTGATGGAAATAATTAATATATTTGCTAATAACTGTGTCAGAAATGACTCAAAATAATGAAAGGAAAACATTTTTAGTAGGAAAAGAAAACATTTTTCGTTCTTTTTCAATTAACTTTGGTATGTATCAACAGTGAAAAAAAAAAAGAATATATTTAGCTAATACAGTAATGACCCGATTTGGCATCCCATAATTTAACATAACCGTAATTCCAAGATGGATGTTTAAGGTATGCTTTAGTACAATAAAACCACTGAAGAAGCGTATGAGTTTCGTAGAACATTAGAAAAGATTTTCAAGAAGGGAGTTGGCAAAATCGGGTCATTACTGTATTCAACTTTTTATAAATTAATACTGTTAAAAAGAAAATATATCATCGATTTCAGGCCGATAAACATAACGTGAAGTACTCAATGGATGCTTCCGATGAACTTCAAACTAATTCTGAAATGAAATTAAAGATAAATGGAATACATACCCCTTAAGTTATAACAGGGTTGGAAGCAGGTTACTGTTTAGTAGCTAGATCACTATTTGCAATTCCAGTCACTAAAAAATAACCTTTGTCATAAAAAATTCACGACTATTTCTTAAATTTAGTCCCTAAAGTAACGTTTTAACGACCAATGTTGTGAGCAAAGAATAGAACTTTAAAATCTAACAATCACAGCTTGGAAGTGTTCGGAAAATCATTTCTAAATCTCATTCATTTGCCTCCGTGCGAGAATAAACTCGCGTGCAAATGCGGCAACAAAATTCACACGTGAGATTCTCATGCATATTCACACACTCACACTCACCTTAACGCCGAAAAATCATGTCATCTTTAAACTCATAAAAACCACTCAAACGTTAATTGATAGCATGCTTATGCATGTTGTGTTAGTTTTCAAATCCCTGATACACAAACAATAGTAATAACAATGAATAACGTCAAACTATAAAGAAATTAATTTTTGAACCTTGGGGGCGACCCCGGCGTAGTGGTTAACATCCATACCTCTCACGCCAAAGTCACGAGTTCAAATCTCACCCCCGGACAAGTCACGAATGACCCAAGAGTGTTAAAGTGACTATAATGAAAAAAAAAAAAAAAAAAAAAAAAAAAATTGAACCTGAAAACTTATCGGTGCTTTTGGCGACGTTGAATTTTGCAAGGCAAAACCAATAGTCGCATAAACTCAAGCATAAAATTTGTGTTAGAAAGATTCATTACAAATCAGAGTGTAAAGCCTGAAAAGAAGCGTTTTATTTTTTTGCCTTTCTTGTGATCTCAAAATTGTCATAGTCCTATCACAAATTTTCTGAGGTTTCGAAAACAATCCTAGACCAAATATTCTGGTTATTTAACGTGGTCCAGGAAAATTTTCAAGCTCTTGACATTTTTTCCAGGACCAGAAATTTCAAAAATATTTAAAACCCAGTAGGCTTAGTATTCATTAGTATTAAAATCATGTCACATAATCTTGAGTTCCTTTTAAAGTCCATTAATTTGTATTTTATATTTTTTTCCGGACTTGTAATTTGGAATCAAACAATCTTCAGGTCCAGGTTTTAGGGAAAAAAAATATTTGTCCAAGATCATAACATGTTTTCTATGTTTCAGGAACATTTACATTTTTCAAGGGTTGTGAACTTACATTCTACATGTTCAAAAAAAATGTATAACTAAATCCATAAATTTTCACGATGGAGATTTTAAATCCTAGACGCATTCTATTTTTTTTGTTCGTGATTAATGAGATTAAGACTGCGCTCTAGGAAAGTTGCCTAGGTCCCAGAGTTATGAACTTTTTTCTATGTATGAGGTGTTACAGAAGTTACTAGTCTCAAGGGGAATGAAGCAAAGGAAAAAAATAAAAAAGATAACGATAATTTGATTCAAATACTAATGGCTTACTTAGATCTACATTTAATTCTAGACTACAGCTGTTCACGTTGCCAAACGCATTACTTCATCTATATCCTACACGAAACGAAAATCAATTATTTTATTCATGTGTTTCACTTATACATTTTTGCCAAACATCAGCCTTATACATTCCATAAGACAAACCATATAGGTCCTATAAGAATGCATAAAAGGTATATGTGACCGCTTATACATTTCATTTGACACATGATCTTCATTAACTTTTTGCAAGGCGTCTGCTTATTAGTTGACTTATACATTTTATGAATAATCAGCTATGGAAATTTGCCAAAAGGTATAAGGAGATTTCTATCCGTGTAGATCTTTAATATTGACTGTCATACAATTGTCAATATTTGTCTAAATCGTTGACTTTGAACATTTTTCTCTGTGCCTAAATTTTTGCATGTTAATCACCAATTCGAGATCTGCATCTAATATTAACTTAGTAAATTGTTTGTTTAAACAAATTGAGGAAAACAAAAGAGAGCAGATTGATGAAACGATGGTTAGAGTTGCACCGTGCTCTTGTTAATTCAATTCATTTTTTTTACGAGAACAAATTTATGGAATCCTTAATCCTGTAATGGTAACCTTAAATCATGGTCCATTTTGGAAACCTGGTGTGCATATGCACCCCACACCATGTATTGTTGTATCTGATCTTGATTATTTAGAAGGGTGATGTCTCTAGAAAAGTTTATCAGAAGGTGCTGTGGATGGTAGACAGATAAATTTGGAATTCTGTCACTAGGCAGTACTACTGAGCATCTCACATGCACATACCGTGAATTGCTGTATCACCAGATCCTGATTATTTCGACGGATTACGCAAAGTCGATCAGGGGTCAAAGACTGCTGGGAAGGGGACAAATCAACTCGGAATTCTGCCGCTATGCGGTGCTAGTGAGTGTTTATATATTTTATACTGCTGTATCTGCTGATCCAGATTATATAGAAGGATAATGTTTTAGGAAAGTCGAGCAAGAGGTCAAGGGCTGCTGGGAAGTGAACAGATCAATTTGGAATTCTGCTACAAGGTGGCGCTTGTGAGCATCCCACATGCAAATATTGTGTACCGCAGTTTCTCAAGACCCTGATTATTCAGACAGGTAATGTCTTCGGGAAAGTTGATGAGGAAGCTAGACTGCTGATTAAATAGAAGGGTAATTTTTCGGCAAAGCTAATCTGGAGATCAAGGGCTGATACTCACTGAACAAAACATGTGATTTTCTGAACAAAACATGTGACTTTTAGTGCACCGTGTAAAATACAGGTAGTTTACAATCGATTCTAATAGATAATTATTTCTAATAAAAAATCCACAATGGACTGTTATGCTTTTATGGGCAGATCTGGTAGCGTAAATTTCTTTAACATGATGGTTGTGTTCGGTTGCTTGGTTTAGAGTTTCGACAAATTGACGTTTGTGTTTTCAAAAGCAAATACGACTTTTTGAAATTTCATCCTTGATTTCATGTTCCCCTGGGATCTATCCAATGACAGATTCGATAATCAGAGACAAAAGAAAAGTCTTCCCGTTATTTTCAAATTAAATTCAAGGAGGACTTGACTTTTGTTCGTGATTTTTCCATTTTTCGGAGAAATATTTCCCAGTGAACGCCTAGCTTAGTGATGTGCAATCACTTTGATTGAACTACTAGTATTTTATTTGGCTTTTTCTAAATAACTGATATTAAATTATAAACCTATATATTTTTGAGTTATTTGAACAATCAACCTTCCTACTTCCCAAAGTACATATTTACTTTATTATCACTAATCCTCCACCGTTGCAGATCAGCGCTGTGAACTCACGCAGCTACCACACCGGTACGGTGATAGGCCTGCTGCCGGCACAAACAATCAACGTCTATCTGGGATCCAAGCTGCGCTCGATTCATGAAGTACTGAACGACCACAACGCTGCCCTTGGATTAGCCGGCTATGGAGTATTTGTGGTAGAGGTAAGCCGTCCATAACATACATATTGCTCGTTTAATTTTGTTTGGTTTGTCGTTGCCTGTAATTAACCGCGGTGGTTTTTTTTTGTTTTCTTCAATCACCAATCTCTTATTTACACAAACACAGGTGATTGTCGGCGCAGCACTGATGGTGTGGGTTATACAGAAGGCCCGCACGGAGCTATCAGCGGCCTTGTTATCCGACATGGATTCGGATGAGAAGATTCTGATCGAAGTGGAAGCGTAGGTTTGTCCGGGGCCTAAATGGGCAAGCAGCTTTTCACCAAAGACGAAAGCTTGTCGTCGTGAATACCTATAAAATTTATTTGTTAACCAATGTAAGGTATTTAGGGTAGTTGAGGATGAGCAAACAAAGAACGAATCAAGTCGAATATTTTAAGCATGTTTTGATGGTTAGATGTATCCAAAAATGGAGAACTATTTTAAGAGGAAATGGTAAACGACGGTGTTTTGTTCCTATGAAACAAACAAGCTAAGCGAATTGAAGCTTTTCCCCGTCCGGAAAAGCGGCGATAGGAATCTACAATTTGATATCAATCAATTGCTCCACTGTCTATCTTTACGTTAAAACTGAAAAACCGTCCATAATGCTTTATGAAATTGAAGGTTATCCCATTTTGACAAGATTTTGCCCTTACCGAATAACAGCGCGCGCTGACATCGACATCAGAAACACTCCACATACTTGCATCGAGCGATAACCGATAAGAACGTAAGTTTACTAAAACACGTTTTATACTACTACTAGATCAAAGAAACCCAACAAAAAAAAACTCGTTTGATCCTCCACCGTTAATGGAATTCCCCTGAACGAACAAATCGCGAGCGCTTCGTGGAAATTTGCGCGAAAGTCATCTCATTTAACGGACGTACCCGCGACATGTACGTGTGTAGAATTATTTTGCGATTATTTGCGGCTACTGTAACAATGCTATATCAGTATGGCTAGAGTCAAGTAAATAACACACAGCAAATGAACCTCCTTTCCGTAAATAAAAGGTCGCGATTATTGGAATCATTTCGTAACTTTACTTGTCCTGGGCCTGTGATCTGAGCATTTTCGGGTAACTATTCACGTGGCTGCTAATGGAAAGAGAACAGTACAAACTCAAAGGCCGCATATTTGAATCATTTCTTTTATATCCATATTTTACGACAATAGAATAATATAAAATCGCTATATGACCTATTGACTCCAAGATGCATTTTCGTTCCATATTGTATCGTCTTGATCTTTCCCATAGCACCTTCTATCGAAATGTATATAAGAGATGTGATAAAAAGATGTTCGTAAATTTTGTTATCAATTTATATAAGGGTACGCTCAATGGTGGAAGTAGGTACGTTTTAAATGTGTCCTTCCTTTCTTCCGTTATTTATTGTTTTGTATGATAAAATGGAAATTTTCCTTCTTCATGGATAGAATATAAGTTAAGAGCTAAGTACTAAAGGCACCGAAAAGACTCCAAATCTGAATAAATTTGTTATGAACAGAACGGGAGAGTTGACAAAAAAAACTAGAACATATCCGATATCCATGGAAGAGTACAGGAGCAAGAGAGTGACAGAGAGAGAGACGGAGGAATATGAGCACTATAGTGATATCTATCGGAGAGTAGGGTTAGCTTTACTTGCATGCAAGTGAATGTGCTGGGAGAAACTGTTTCTGTACAATAAATGATTCTCAATCATTTTTCAAATAGACCAATCTACCTTGATCGATTCTCTTCATCGACTCTCTCTTTCGTAAATAATTCGGCTACAAAAAAAAAACGTTCCCTACCGTCATTGTCGTAGCAGGTACTAGAACATAGAACTGTATGTCGAAAATATACGGAATATTTTAACACAGACAAACAGACATAACACTCGCAAGTTGTTCATCGAACAGGCATTTAATGGTCAATTTAAAAGTATCGTAGTTGGTAGTACCGCCACCTGTGGCGCGCATAGTCAATTCCCTTGCGTTTGACGTTTACACACTACCGCCATCTGTTCAGCGTACTACCCACCAGAGTGTACTCAACAGATGGCGGTAATGTTTTTGCGACGATGTTTTACAGTGAGAAATATTCAATGTGTTATGTCTGTTTGTCTGTGATTTTAACACGGCAGTGGCGATCCAAAGAGAATGGCGATGAAGAGAATCGATCAGTAAATAGAACTTATTGAAAAGTGACGCGTGATGTTTGTTTTCTATTATTGTATCATTGATGGAACTTGAAACTCCTTTTGATAGAAGAAACCCGAGTAGACGAGAATATTAAATCAAAAGCAAGTTTTACTATTAAAATCAGTTTGATAACTATTAGTTTGATTGATATAAGAGGTAAAATATCAAAAATAATATCTACACATCTATGGGACCATAACTGAGTAATAGCAAAGTCAGTTGTTGCCATATCTAAAGGATAGCAAAAATGATAGTAAATTAATAATTGTGCTATTATATCTCATTAAGCTATTGGTATGTTGTTTAAATTAATAAATTTAATGACATATTAATAGCTTATTTTGCTATCAGATCAAAATAAGCTCTTGAATTCATGATACCAAAATATCATAACAATCGCCAATTATGCTGTGATAACAGAAAAAGCTATTAATTAGCTATTGCGCACAACTTACAAATAACATATTAAGATATTGATAGTAAAATTTGATATTATTTTGCTCTGGTTTTACCCGGGAAGAATGTGGATATACTTCTTTATTTTAAATATCTCGGAAGATAGTTAAAAATGAATTTTGATTCTAAATCAACTAAACTTTTGATTTAACTTTTCTGAAATAAATCGCCAATTTCTTGTGCACTGTACATTTGATGTTAAGCTGGGTTTAGACTAGGCAAGCGATATTTCCTGAAGGCTTGAAAAGTTGAGCCTGGTTCAACTTTTTTCAATTCAAGTGAGTTGATCAAGTCAGTTTAATGGCATGGTTTACACGTTCAATTCGCGTTCAAGCCAGTTGAATTCAACTGACTTGATCAATTGACTTGCCCTGTCTAAACCCAGTTTTAGGTTGACACCAGCGAATCCAAACACATAAAGCAATCAACGATACAGACAAACTCTTTCTGCAACACAACTTAATCGGAGTGGTACAAGGATAATGATAATATCGACAGTGAGCATGCATAAGGGCGTAAACGCGATGATCGATTCACTTCATAGATTTTTTCTCTTTAAATTGTTACAGCTAAGGGAAGCAATTTTCTGAATTGTTTCCAATACAGGACTGTAACAGGTTGTATTGGCTATCAAAAGCAACAACAAAGGCACCGAGAATTGCTAATCCAAGAGAATCGATCATCGTGGTTACACCCTTATGCATTCTCAGTGTCGATATACTGTTTGCCTGCTTTGTTGCAATTAGGTTTGAGGACGGTGCGTCGGGGTTAACCTCAATCTGATGACAGTTCAGTAGTACTGTTTACGTGGACTTAGTTGATTTTTTCTTGGGTAGATTTTCTCGATAATGTTTTAGACTGCAATGATGCAGTACCTAATATACATGGTTGAGGACATAGCTTGATCGGAATCGAGAAAAAACATAACAAAAAATATTTCATACACACCGACACGTATATCATCTTCGGCTTTACTTCGTAAAGCAGCTTGCCAACAATTTGGTCGTGCTGTGTTGCAGGAGCTTTTTTTTATGTTTGGCTCGTAATTCCATTTCATTCCACCATCTTAATTGCTTACCCTCCTAGTCGAGTTCTCCAGTGTCTTGATACTTGACTCGAAGTATTTAAAATCAGTTTGAAATATGGTACACAGCATGTACATTAAGGTGGGACAGCTTAACAGCCCCCTGCTCTCCACTACTGTTTCGATTTAGATTAAAATTCCCAACAACTTTACCAACTTTCAACGAATTTGGAATGTTGTAAGCAACGAGATGGTGGACGGTGGCATACAATATTTGGACTATGTCATGAAATGTCTCATAACTTTACATGATCTATAATATAAACTTGTACGATATATGACTCTACAGTTATATGCGTTATAATCAACATACATTTACACTACTTTTTCGAACTATCTACAGCAAGCCGAGGAAAACGCTGTTGAAAATGTATTTGTCTGTCCGTAGGCTCTTATGAATAAGATAACCAAGTTTTGGAATTTTTAGCGATATTTCCTGAAGAACACATGTAACTATTATTAGCCAACGGCTGAAAGTCTCCTTAATAAAGATATAAAAAAAAAAAAAAAATGTAACTATTAGTGCACAGTGTAAAATTCCTAAAGTTTACAATCAACTTTAATGGATAACTCACTTCTGCCAACAATCTATATGGGACTGTTATATTTTTATGGGCAGTGTAGGACTAAAGTAAAATGATAATAATTTTTTGGACAAAAGTCGAATCGAATATTATCTTCGACAAAGTTGTTCTGCATAGTTTTCCCAATCTAAGTCTCAGTTTTGGTCAAAATTGAGCATTTTTTTAAATTTGTGATTATCAACTGAGTAGTACCGGTCCGTTTCCCTAGCAAACTTTAAAGCTCATATTCAAATTTAGCACAGTTGCAAGTGCAGTGGGGAGCAGGAGGTTGTGCACATTACAAAATTTAACAAACAATAATTTTAGATACTTCCTTGTAAAGTCGTCCGTCGCTTACATTACAAAATCTGTATTACAGATTTGGAAATGTCGTTTAACAAAACTGTAGGCAGAAAGGTACATGCTTCATCTTTTCGAGAAATGCTTCCTAACAAAAATCGCTCAATTAGCCGATTCGGGTACGTAGCTAATCAGCTGCTTACCCTGCCCAGCAAAAACAAGTTAAACACGCGTAGGCTTTCATTTTGAATTTTCGGCATACAAAAAATAAAGCGGATTGCAACAGTTTAGATAAATTAGTTATTTATTCTAGCTAATAGAATGCACTCATGCTAGGAATGCAAGTCTATTATATAAGCGTTAAAATCTAGTTATTGTTTCCTATAATCATAAATCACAGTACTAAAATGGAATGACTCAACCGTTGTTGGAATCACAGAATGTCAGTGTACGATACCCGAACGAACTCAACACTTTCTGCATCCACGTTTGCGCTTATTTTGGTAAGCTTGGCAGGCATAGTCTATCACAGTTAGTGCGTACTCTGCATCCAACATGTTGACACACATCGGTGGTTTCAGCCGAAGAACCTGAAATGAATCGTGTTTGTTTTATCAATTTGTTGAATTAATATTAGTTTGAGGGAAGATGCATAATTGACGGAACATTTTAGGGTGACCAGCCATGTAGCAACAAGGGTGAGGGGGGCCAAAGTTGGTGCTTAATGAAACGTAAACGTTAAACGTTTGTTTACGTTTGATGAACCACCAACTTCAAGGGAGTTCAACATGGCTGATCATCCTAAAGTGCTGCGTGCATCTTTCCTAATATGATGCGTCCACAAAACGTAAGTTAGTACAAAATAGTGAAGATGGATTAGAACCGCGATGATGTAGTTAGGTGAAGTCACACAAACACGTAATTATACTACAGCTATATTGGATACCGCCATTTTTTTCGTATCTGGTTAGCAGCTACACTACTGACGAAGGTTGGAAGTAGTTAGGACGTTTGGAATTTATCTAGTCTGAGTATTCCAGAAAACCGAACCATCAATTTAGTTTATTCGTATATTTGTGCCAATTTTTTTTTTAATTTTAGGCCCTAACAATTTTGCTTTGATGTTCTGAGGAGTGTATGTGTTAGTTGAAATTTTCCCCCAAACGGGCCGTAGTGGGATTTCAGTCTCAGATAAGTTTGTGAGCGCTCTCAGAGTGACGCTCGAGTGCAACATCTAGCACTTGCAATGCAAAGTCGACATCTTCTTTTGTTAAACACATCGGTGGTTTAATTCTAAGTACCTGTTGAGGACACAGTGGTTAGGAAGATAGATATACAGGAATTATAGAAGGCAAAATATGGGTTTTTTGAGTTTACATTAATATGGCGAATTAGTTTCGTTGCCGTTTTAAGTTGGGTTGGATAAGTTGGGATTACTTACGTTAGCGTTCAAACCGCCTCGTCCGAAAAGGACACCCATGTCCTTGCACATTTCCCAGATTTCGACAAAGTGTGGAGCACTGAGGTGCTGGCGTGTCTCCTTATCCGCCACCAGCTCGACACCGATCATCAGACCCTGGAAAGCATAATATTGTTGTATGTAGGATATTATGATAGTTCTATTCCATTAAATTGTAATATTGATTTGAATTCAAAAAATTAAAACGTTATACTTAAATTAATTAATTAATTTATCTTTATTAGGGAGGCTTTCAGCCTTGGGCTGGTTCGCCTCCAAATACTTAAATTACATATAATATTACAGAAACACTGATCTGGAAGATCATTTAATCTAAATTCTAGCACCTTCAGGAGAATCTAGAACGCCTACATATAAATGGATTGTAAATGATTCTCATGGACTCTATGAACACGGTGGGATATTTTTCTTTGCTTAGGAAATCGTGCAAGCCGTGGTTGAACCAGAAGATCAAATAATCTGAACTGCAAGGCACTTTGTTGTGTATGTTGTGGTCAAGAAAGCTTATTCCGAATTATGAATTTTGATTTAATAAGCATGCTAAGGGTATCGTCCCTGTCCAGGTTCAAGTTCATGCTATCAAACATACAATCTTCACAAGGTTTTGAAGATCTTGGCCATTAAATATGGCTGTCATATTTATCCTGTATTGTTCACATCCAAAACTACAACTTCGCTAAAGGAAGGATGTAGCTATCAGTCACCTGTGATTTTATATACACAATTAGAAATAAATATTGTTACACGAGACTTAATGAATCTATTGCGTAAATCATGGAACGCAAACAAACACGTGATGTATAATTAAGTGTTATGAATCCAAAACATACACAACTTGATGGAAATTGTGATTGATTGACTTGAATTTCTCTTTCTTTTAATTAATTCTAATGTCTTAAAGGTCGCTTGCAGTCTCAGGACACGGACATTTACATGACTTTTTCGTAGTGTTTAACCATTCATAGAGCCTGGGCATATATGACCACGTGAGCCCGAAATGGGTAATCGAGTATCAGACAATCATGATGTAAAGACAATCGATTAAAAATGAATGGCATATTTTTATGTTATCGATTAATTTGATTAAGCGAGAAGTAAATGAACATTTATACGAAGGCTCATAGTGTGCTCAGATTCAACCCCTGATCAAAGCGCATCTGGCTGCGTTTGGTTTTTTTTATCACTCCCGTATACGCCCCCTTTTAAACTAAAAAAACAACATTACATTCTAGCTCCAGTATTGATCAGTCAGTCAACATGAGAACATTAAATTTGCTGTGCGTGGTCATTAGCTTTGCTCACTGCTGCCATGGATCAAAGATGTGGCGATATAACCTCGCCTTTAACAACCCACTTAACTGGAACGCGGATCAACTTCCAAAACCAGGGCAATCGATCCAATATCCAGTGAAACTAAACGCCCTAGCAGAACTTCCGAGCAGTATCAGTGTTGGATCGCTGATACTGCCATCCAGTGGGGCTGTACTCATACCGGAAACAGACTTCTCGTTACTTTTCGAAAACGATCGAAAGTATCGAGAAACGGCTGTTTTCAAAACTCCTATCCGCAGACCGTATTACTCAACGCACAACTGGCAAGAAGTAGACGATTTGGGAAATGTTGTTATTGGTTCGAACCGTGCCACTCCGCATGTGGAGCGTATTCCGTGCCAGTTCGAAACTGCGGTATTCGGTAAAGTTCCTTCGCCAATCGATTTGCAGTATCACTCAGCTATCGAAGCTAAAGATATCAGTTTCGGAGGAAGCAAGGGGTTGGACGAGTTCCGCCGATTTCTGGTGTCTGACCTGGGGCAGTACGTTTTCTACAACGCAGAAGAAACTCTGGTGACGGAAGGTAAATGCGGCAGTCCGGAGAAGTGTCCCTGTCAACCCGAATGGGTCAAAGAAGCAGTTTGTGCCAACGAAGTTTGCCCGGTTCCGAATTGCTTGAGCCCCATTGTTCCCAAGGGCCACTGTTGTGCCATATGTGGAAGTGTGCTCTCGGTGGATTTGAGTAATTTCGTTGAAAATTTTGATTTGAGTGATTTCATACGGAAGCTGGATCGAAAAATTGCTTCATCGGAGGTGGATCAGTCGCTGGTTGAGTACCATGTTAGCGTCGAGAACTATGCTCTGCAGTTGGTGCTTATAGATAAGGGAGACTACGACGAGCAGAGCGTTCAGCTGATGAAAAGCTTGGAGCCATATTTTGTGATGCGGTTTCGTAATGGTGAGTATGTGCGGATCAAAGTACTGTCTGTACAGGAAGTAATTTTTAAGAAAACTTATCATAAATGGCAGGGACAGACATGAAGGAAAAGTTCCTAAAACTACACTCAAAATGACTGGAAAATAGTGTAGGATTATAGAATCTACTCTCTACCTATAGTCCTATTTTTAGCATACCGCTAAAATTTTGGCTTGAAGCATTGTTACACGTTGTACATGATTTATTATGTGTAGGTAGAAAATTTCAAACATAGCTTACAAATCCCACTTTAAAACATCATTTGTTTAGACTCAAGATTTGGTTTTTTTTTAAATCTAGATTTCCTTTGTTGTCAGTCAACCGGGAATACAGTTGTGTATAAAAGATATGCGAAATTTGTAATCTATCGAAAGAAAACGTTTTATATAATACCTACTATATGTTAGCTTAACTTTATTAATCAATGTGATTCTAGAAAATCAAAATAGTAAAACTATCTATTTGAACTTTTTTCAAGAAAAAAATTCAACGATTTCTCTTCAATTCACCACAGGTCATAATGTCGTCCATTCAGGACAACCGCACATCCCGTACCAGAGTGGGCAGCTGTTCCTAGTAATGTTTGTTTCCCTGCTGATGGTATCCGTTTTCTTCACCGTACTGTACGTGTACTATTATGATGACAAAATGATACCTCGTGTTACGGCTATAGTACGGAATAGAACGTTTTTCACGTCGCCATTCGTCTTTGCACGGTTTGATCCAAACAACGCTAATGACGACTCAACAGTGGATATAAATTTCAACCCATCAGGAATTCAATAATCCAATGTTTGAGGAACAATCTGAGGGAGCGTCTTCTACTGTACCCGACCAAAAAGTTGAAGAAGAGTCGTATGTCGATGTAGAATTGAACTTGAGGAAATGAATCCTTTCCGGACCGGTTAAATATTGTACATTTGAAGTTATCTAATAAAGCACAATACCATCAACTTACCTTTCCTCTTACATCTCCAATGACATCATATTTATCGCGTAGATTATCGAGACCTTTAAGCAGGTATGTACCAACGTCACGGGCATTCTGTTGCATTCCCTCTTCGTCGATAACCTGAAAAAAAAACAAGTCCACCGTAGTTTTCACACACCTCCCAGCAAACAAGCTACTTACATCCAACACGGCAATACCAACCGCACTAGCCAGCGGATTACCACCGTAAGTATTGAAGTGCAAAGCCTGTGACAACGTTTCCGCCACCTTCCGCGAAGTCACAACGGCTCCAATGGGGAATCCATTTCCAATTCCCTTCGCCATAGTGACAATATCAGGTACGATGTCGTGTCCTTCGAAGCCCCAATAGTGCTCGCCCGTCCTGGCGAACCCAGTTTGAACTTCGTCGGCCACAAATAGACCTCCATTAGCCCGTACCAGCTCGACCGCCTTCTTAATGTAGCCCTTGGGGTACTGAACCGTTCCTCCTACTCCCTGAATTGACTCCGCAAACATGGCCGCCACCTTACCGCGGGGTAGCGAATACTTGAAGATTTGCTCGAGCTGTTCGTAATACCGTCCACTGGCCAGGCATTGGTCTGCAGGACAGTCGCAGTGCCGCGTGGTTTGCACCGGTGAATCTCTACAGTTCTTTCCACCCCAAATTCCGGTGTAAGGATCGGGATTCATAGCATGAACTATTCCATTACTCGCTCCGGCCAGCGGATACCTCCACGTCGAATGTGCAGTCAAACCCATCGTGTAAGGCGATGCTCCGTGGTAAGCATTGCGGAAACTGATAATCTCATTGTTTCCCGTATAGAGCCGTGCCATCATCATAGCCAGATCATTCGCTTCCGAACCGGAGTTGACGAAGTAGACATTGTTCAGATCTACCGGTAGTTTGGAGAGCAGTTTCTCAGCATACTCGTGGACCTTGGGGTGCATGTAGATGTTGGTTGTATGCCACAGGCTGTTCATTTGCTCTTGCAGTGCAGCATTGACTTTTCTGAAAATCAAGAAAACGTAGAATTTGAACCTGCAATTCTCATCATAAACAGACGTCTCTTACGGATGGCAGTGCCCGACTGATACGGTAACAATTCCACCAAACATATCCAGATAGCGGCGTCCTTCGTGATCGAACAGCCACTGCATGTTACCTTTGTGGATAAGCAGTGGTTTCTTGTAATACGAAGTCACGTTCGGGGTGAGGTGTTGCTTCCTCATGGCGGTGATCTTGTCATAGCTATGCTTGCTGTAAACCTTAGCCTTGTGGTTGGTCTTTGGCAGCTCGGGGCTCTCCTTCACATTGGTGCTGGCCTGCGCCGAAAGGCATCGCCGCAGCGTGGCCGCAGAATTGGGTGCTGCAAGGGTAGAAGGTGTTAGACATTAGTAAGGGGTTGTACCTATGTATATCGAATCCCATTTCGGTCAAGAACTCGTTCGGGTTGGGAAGTCTCTCAACTTCCTTGGGCGTTGAGTATCATTCTGCCACGTACGTATACATATTCAATTTGATCGTCAATCAGCTGGACGCGTTTTTAAATCGTTCCTAGCCAGGCGCGTTTCGTTTTTTTTCAGCCTTAACTCATTCAACCATGGTAAAATTCAACCTTGCACCAGAGTATCTGTCATCTCAGCTTGAACGTGGAAGATACATTCATAATTACAAGGTCTACTGATGATGTTCGAGTAGCGTCTTATTTTAAAGCATCCACGCAACATTCACTGTTTTACAAGGGCGTTAAGCTGTACAACTTCTTGCCTAGGGACTGGCGTGAAGAAAATAGTGTGAACGTCTTTTAAAGAAAATGTGTGCGAAAGATAATATTATGGTGTGAACCATGTTGTATGCGTAAATGTGAAATTATTTTCAATCAGATGGTGACTATGAAGCCAAAAGGAAGAAGCCTGGGCCACATAGGACATAGTACTACAAAAGCAACGCGACGTGCAGCGCTGTATAACCCTATATTGGACTCCAGTCTCAGTACTCAGATGCGTCCTTCATAATGAACTATCTAATGGCTAAAAATCACGATAATAGAGCATAATAAAAAAAAAACTCATATGCGTACCTGTTCTCAAACAGTTCTGTTCTGACTAGAAACAATAGGAAACCTTTTAATAATTATCTAATTAGATAAATATGCCCAACCAAAATTCCCATGTACGGGAGATAGTTGTGGGCCATCATCAACATCATACTCAGGTGTCTACTGATTTATGGTAAATAAAATTCCCTGAGTTTTCCAGGTTTTTCCAGGACATCAACGAATAATTTCCAGGTAATAAATGAAATATTTCAGTGTCAACATTTCAAAGGGGCGTAATTGCATTTGTAAACAATGTCGAACATTCGTCGATTTCTCGCGAATGAAAGCTCACCTCTCCAAATTAACAATGCTAGCTGGTATAGGAAACATTCTTCTACCTGTTGGTCTTATTAATATTCATGAAATTGACTGCTAAAGCCATTGTTTACAAAAGCAATTACGCTTCTTTGAAATGTTGACACTGATTTATTTAAAATACGTTAAAAATATGCTATGGGGCAGTTTATAATCTATGTAGACACTTTAGGGATGGGGAATGTCTACGGTCCATACAAATTTCCAAAAATGTGTATGGAAGATTGTCTACGCGGGGGAAGGGGGAGGGGTCTAAAATCTCTCAAAAACGGCCTACGTAGTTTATGAACATTTGAATATTTCTGTTAGTTTTTAATCTTGAAAGCTTCTCATGGTCCAGAATCCTGTAAAATTTTTCCTAGCCCTGAATGAATGTCAAAAAATGCTACCCTAATCTTGAAGATTTGATTTTTCTTAATCCAGAATCAATAGAACTTTTCTACGTATGAAATCCGGAGTGATTTGAGATTTGGGCGTAATTACATTTGTTAACAAACACGTCAATCACTGATTTCTCGCGAATTAAAGCTCAATCTTGAAAACTAATAACGCTATGAGGTAGAGGAATGATTCATCTGTCATTTGGTATAGTTTGTTCACAGACAAACAGACATAACACATTGAATATTTCTCACTGTAAAACATCGTCGCTAAAACATTACCGCCATCTGTTGAGTACACTGTGGAGGGTAGTACGCAGAACAGATGGCGGTAGTGTGTAAACGTCAAACGCAAGGGAATTGACTATGCGCGCCACAGGTATCACTACCAACTGAGATACTTTTAAATTGACCGTTAAATGCTTGTTCGATGAACAACTTGCAAGTGTTATGTCTGTGGTTTGTTCATGAGATTGAGCTTTAATTCAAGAGAAATCGACAATTGACGTCTTTGTTTACAAAAGCAATTACGCCCAAATCTCAAATCACTCCGGAAATATCAAATAAAAAAAAAAAAAAAAGTCTCAGATTGGGTACAGAACTACTTCGGCCTAATCGCCCATTTTGGGCCTATCGAGCAGAAAACTTCAAATATATCCTTGATTTCAGAGTTCACAAGTCAATTATGCGTTTGGTACGATACTTTAGTTAATAAGCTACGGAACGAAGTCAATAAGAACGCGTGATATGAAGGTTTGCACCCATTATTCCCAAAAACAAGTCAGGCTCTCCGACCGAATAAATTTTTATCTCCATCCGATAGGCCGAAGTGAATTCATTGGCGTTTCAATGACGTTTCAATGCGGTAGGCTGAATTTAGAATCCGTAGGCCGAGTTTGGCGTCAAGAAGCAGTGTTAGACTTGACAATATCTCAACGATTGGTTTATCTTTATCAAATCTTACGGTACATACGGAAAGGTAAATAAATTTGGAGCCATCAGTAATAATAACATTCCGTTTGGTGCTAAACTGCGCTAGATTAGGAAAGACGAAGTGCGAGTTGTGCTTAATATGCCGAAAATGGGGTAGTTAACCCTATTTGATTTTTTTTACCTTGATTTCTCTTCTGCGGCTTAAAAAAAATTCTAGGTTTGAATAATCTTGATACTGGAGTTGCAGCTTTTCACTGGATTTTTTTAGGATTTTCAAAACAATTTTCTTAGAATCATTTCAAAATTTCCACAGAGTTCGTCTTAGAACTCTCTTTGGTATTCCCTTACAATTTGCTAAATAATACTATAGAAATTATCTCCAGAAGGCTCTTTGATTCACTCTACAGTTCCCTTAAAATTCCTTATTAGGTTCGCTGTATCACCCTAGACCTTCAAAAGAATGAATCGAAATAAACTCTCCTCAGTAATAATCTCCTGAAATTCCCATGGAACAATCTCCGGAATACCATCTTAATTCCACTCAAAATTCTCAAAGTTCAGTCCCGTAAATTTATATCAAGGAATATTTACTACCTTATTTGCTTATCCTTGACAAGGATGTCAAGGATAAGCAAATAAGGTAGTGGAATTAAATGGAAATTACTAATCTTTCTCTCTCTCTTCATACAGGTATTCCACTAAGACGCCCACATTCACCAGGATGTGTTATAAGCTATTAAACAAGATATAAGAACAATTGTTAAACATTGTTCTTGTATCACGAAATCCGCTTATCTCACTTTACAGTTCTTTAGACTATACACGGCATCAATGTTAACAATTTTTCATAATAAACTTAAAGGTTTATGATGAATAGTATTCTGCTCTTCAACATTGCGAAGAGTAACTGTTCTTTTCACATGACATGTCAAAAAAATATCATTTCAAAATCCAAGCATTTTCTTGGAATCCTTTGCAAGTTTTATGAAAATCAGATTCCTATGAAATTCTTCTTTGAACTCGAAACTCTCATACCTAGAGATCCATCGGAATCCTTTTGAGAAATCTCTTGAAATTCTCAGTTGAATTTTCTTTAAACTTTCCTCAAGAGTTTTCTTTTAAATTCTGCTGCAATTTGATTTTAGATTTATCCTTAACATATAATTCTTTCAATATTTAGTTTCGGAATTTCCTTGAATTACCGTTCTGACCCTTAATTTGAAATTATCATCAGAACACCCTTTTAATTATACTTATAATTCTGTTTGAACTCTAATCTCCGATTTTCTTCAAGTTCTACTAGAAATTCTACTGCTATTTTCCTCACGTGTCCCATTAAATTCCTCAGATTCACCAAGGAATTCAATTCAAAACATTCACTTTTCTCATCAGAAAAGAAATAATAAAACCTGGAATTTCTAAATGAAGATTCACTGGCCTCCCTGAGGGGATTCCCTCTTTGTATCGCACATAATGAGTCTTTCTCTGCAGCCTTCATAACACACACTGGCCTGAGATCGAAGATGATCACTGTCCGTTTGATAAACGCTTGCTGCTGGTTGACACACAAGAATCAGATTGGGTGTATTTGAGTGAATACGGCAAATTGATTTTAATAGCACAAAATGCCTATAAGGAACCGGTTGGCATATTCATGGTTGCTTGCTTATAAGTAGGTTGCCATTCAGATTCATCCTAATAGCCGAATATCATCCGACTTGAAGGTGACTGGTTCTATTCGAGTGCGTTTAAGCCCCTTTTCTTAATAAGGCATTGAATAGGCTACTGAAGCCCAATAGCGGCCTTATATGCATTTTTACTAATCAGATTGATATGATTATGTTCCTTATCAATCAAATATGTACCAACAAAGATAAGAATTACCATCAAAGCTCGACAACAGTAGTCATTCTCATCGTTAAGTCCATCTATATCTCTTAGTTGGAGCGACACTCATTTCGCAACCTATTTATAAACCGACGACAACACCGACTACTATATGGACGATGATCAACAAAACCTTCACGAATGCCACTGCCACACGGTTGGTGTTATGTGTACATACATATTTCATAAGTGGAGTCACTTTCCCCTCAATCTCCGTTTATCAGCATCGCGGGTCAAAGTTTCACACGTTGCTATTTACGTTTTTGTGATGCCGGTTCATCGTAAGTTCACAACGTTTTATTTACATTTGTGCGCACAAGCTTATCACCGATACTACGATTATAAGCATATCAAGTGGTGCAGCATTTTATGGTTGAATTGTTATTTAGTAGGTACATGCAAACTGCCAAAAAGATTAAAATGTGAAGTAAGGACTAATCGGTCGTTGAAAATCATCTTTAACTTCTAGTATTGGTTGTTGATATTCGATATGTCTAACCTAACAATGTGAGTGAATACAACAATTCACTTTTCCTATCGAACAATCACAAGCATTGATTTGCATTAATTTAATGTCGGTATATTATATTTTCGCTTATCCAGTGTAATCGATCGTACTACGTTACGTTCAGATGCAACGCAATTGCATTTTGTTTACCTCGCTGCATCCAGAGCGTAGGAGTGGGCTCTCAACAAACCGGGATGTATAGGGTGGCTGACCGCATGTTGGACATCAATAATCGAAATAACGCAAAATATACAATCTCAACTGAACGTATGACCAAAATAGGCGTGGAAGTCCATCATAAGTAGGGGTTTCCCCCTTTGTATCGTACAAAATGAACCATTCTCTTCAGTCTTCAGTCTTCACAACACACACACTGGCTAAAGATCGATGATGATCACTGTCCGTTCGATAAACTCTTGCTTGTTGGTTGACACAAAAAATAAGGAATGATAAGTTAAGCTCTTTTTGTTGTGTATTCGAGTGCATACGGCAAATTGCTATTAATAGAACAAAATGCCTATAGGGAACCGGTTGGCATATGCATGGTTGCTTGCTACCCGTTAGGCCCGTTTGACTACACTCTGGAGTGGAGGTTCTTGTTTATCAACAGTTATTATTGTGTAATTCAATCAAAATTTATTAAAAATAAAGTGGTGATACCAAGCCTACAAGCCTATATATATACATATATCTCACATGGCGAACCATGTAGGCGAGAATATTAAAAGTGAGTGTAGTATTTGCGACTCAGCACGAAAATATGGGGACAAGTGCGTAAGATGCTGATCATTGTTGATTGACGCCGCACATATTTTTTTCTCTGTTCTAAAAATGTTGATCAGCAGGCGCGGCAAAAGTGAGTGTAGCGTGTGGCAACATATTTTTCATTTAGTTGAAAGGAATTTAATAACCGTGCGAGTTCTTAGGGTTGAATAAATTAGCACACAAACGTGTGTAGCTGCTTTCCCTGGAACGTTTCATTGCATGCAGCCTGCTACGATCGCCCTAATAAGGCTTACTGATTATACATGCGGGGTGAAAATAACGATCACGTCAATCTCATTTCCATAGGTTGCTGGTACTAAAGGTCAGTACTGTTTTCTTCTTGTTCCGTTTTGCAAGGTCTTTTTCGGTGCAGAGAATTGCTATTCACTTTGAAGGTGTTTCGCTGTGAGATCCTTATTCTCGTAACTACTTCGAAATTTTAAGTGCACAAATATCAGCTTCTACGACACGTACACCATTAAAACTGTTACTCCATGTTTGATGCACTGCAGCATACATGAAGTAGCAATTTATGGTGGAATGAAGCACTGATTTCCGAGATTTGTGTAATTGAAAATTCGAAGTGGAACTGCATGCCTACGTGTTGGTCATTTGTGGACTCTACAAGGAATCACCTTAATATGCTGCGCATCGCTTGTTGGTGGACAAAACGGTCGAGTGCCGTTATTTTTTTTTTCTTTTTTTCTATTTTTTTTTATGTTCGCTTTAACACTTTTGGGAGTTCCGTTGTATTGACTGAAGTTTAAATCAACAACTAGATATGTAAGAAAAATAATTATCGCAGCATTGCTTTTTGCATCTTGGCGCACGGTTGTTGGTAGTTGGTTGATCGCGTGAATGCAGACAAGAAAGGAACATGACAAAACGCACATACGGCTCATCGTTGTTCACACACCACCGTTCAATACACCATTTCGCTTGCATTTCATGCCTCCATTAACGAAGCAAAATACATGCTAATTCTTTATACATTTTGAACTAAGCGACTCCATTATCACCAACCTGATAAGGGTAGCTTCTTCAGCAGCATCGTTGTCCTCGTTTCAGTCACTTTTCTCACGTTACACTCTTTCTGCACCCAACGACTTTTCGAATGTTCAAAAATAAAACTTGGACACGATCACTGTTTTCTCAAGTCTACTTCACACCAGCCTGTTGTCAAATATTAGTCAAAAATCTTGCGATAAAATACATGGACTTGTTCCTATATGTAGAAGAAAAAAAAACACACGACGTGAGTCCGCTAATCAACCAAAACGATTCCCTCACGATCCCGTGGGAGTCTGCGATCTATACTACTACGCTGCACAGCTGAGACTGTACGGTGGCAACTAAGCACAAAGGGAATATATTCGTTTTACATTACACTATAGGGGAACTGGTGTAAAACGCACCGGCAGGGTAATACGCGCCACCATGTTATTTCGCATAATAAGACATTTTAAACGACTATTAATTGTGTTAGCAGGTAGTATTAAGGGTTTGAATGCGATTCCCAATTAAAGATTGACAATATTTGCTTCCAAAAAATATATATAAAAAGTAAAAGTTTCTCGTAGTGCTTTACATCAAGATTTATGTTCGATTGTTTGATATGAGTTTTCGTAGGCAAAATAAGAGCATTCACAACTCATGATATATGAATCAACTTTACTGCATTACCAGCTTCTTGGTCTGTGAGAAAACAGAATGTTTTTCTATCATAAATAAAGCGTTTTTAATGCCTAAAGTTCTGCGCTGAGGGTGTGGCAATATGCGCCGAGCGACTTAGTAGTTCCTAGTAGTTCAAACCGTTGACGTTTGAATTGTTGTTATGAGTTATGTAAAGCAGAAGTTTTAGACAGTGAAAACCTTAGAAAGGTATACAGGTATACCTCGATATAATGCAACTGTCACTTTTCACTTCCATCGTCGATTTACAACAAGCAACAATTCAATCCCGTAAAACAACAACACCATCGGATAGGTGAAACAATCCCCTATGTATTCGTAATGTTAATTTGTTTGATTGAATTGTTGTTTTCGAGATATTGATGTTGAAACTCAACAGCAAGGTTGCGTTTCAATCCTTTCAGGTAAAACAATGTTTTTTTTTTAATTATGAAATTTATGAAACATTATTTATGAAATTTATGAAACATTATATATGTGTATTTGCAACCTTTCTCAAAAGTTACAGTTACGTTATATCGAGGTACACCTGTATTGAATACAGCCTAAATTTATATTTCCTGAAATAATATCACTAGAATAGGTCCCATATGTATGCAACCTACATATCATCGAGCATAAAGCCTAACACCTACGCACTATGGAGTGAAGCCGGTCGTTATTGAAATTATTTTCCATGAATTATAATTTTTATACTATTTTTTTTCAAATTCACTGATAGATTTCAACGTCAATTGTAAAATTTCATGATAATCCGACGAGAAACGAATTTTGTGCTTAGCTGTAAAAATGAAAATTCGTCGAAATTTTGTAAATTTGTGACCAAGGCATGACACACTGATGTTTCTCGAAATTCAATGAATACACGCAGAGGAAATCCGGTGGCATAAAACAACAAATATTGTTTACTGATGAATGTGGGCGTCTTAGTGGAATACCTGTATAATGAGAAAGAGAAGGATTAGTAATTTCCATTTAATTCCACTACCTTATTTGCTTATCCTTGACAGATACGCGTATTTCGTCTACAATGTGCAGACTTCTTCAGTGTCTTGTACTAATACTCGACTCTCGACCAGTCGAGTATTAGTACAAGACACTGAAGAAGTCTGCGCATTGTAGACGAAATACGCGTATCTGTCAATGATAACCAGATAAGGTAGTGGAATTAAATGGAAATTACTAATCCTTCTCTTTCTCATTAAACAAATATTGTTGTTATTAAACAACAAGTACATACTATTTATTTTAAAGCATGTCATGGTAGAAACAACTCATTTTTTTGCTCGTTCCATTAAAATGTTCAACAAAACATATTGTTGATTTTAATGAGTATATGATACATTTCAACAACAGCTTGAATTTTATTCCATCTCCATTTAATGTTGACGTTGATTGTAGAAGAAAACTCATCAGAACGGTTAATTAAAATACAATTAAGTAATTTTGTTATCATTCCATAATTTCCACTTGAATTTTCCTGTAATTGCTGTATTGAATGCACAATTTTGTAGGAGAATAATCAGGAATTCATTTCTATACCCAACCGTACCGAATGGATAAAATTCAGCATTCTGGCTGTTGGGTATTTTTTTTTAAACGCACCGGTAAAACTGCCATTCATTTAATCACTTCCATTGCATGTAAATAGTTAAATTTTATTATTACAGAACTATCAGCAAGGTCATCACAATTCACAATGACAACGACAACGATTCATGCTGTTTGCTGATGAATCCTGTACTTTCTCTATTAAACAATAATAATAATAATTTAATAATAAACCGATTGCAATTTAAACTGTTGAAAAAAAAACATGGCATTCCATTCAATGACTAACGAATAAAAAAAATATTATTTCATTCATAGGTTCTGTTCATTCAATGTGTCTTACATTGTTATTTTCAAAATACTGATGCTTTGTTTCAAAATAAAATATCGTTGAACCACTTGCACAAATAATTTCGTGGGAAACAAACAATATTGTTGAAACGATAACACAATTTTGTTGTTTTAAAATAATGAATTATGAGCTGGCACATAATACTGTTTTTTTTTTCGTTAAAATTATGCATACTTACTTACTTTTCTGCGTGTATGACTAGCTAATTTGAATGGCATTGTTTCTCATCCTTAACGATAAAAACTATTACATTATATAATAAAATCACATTAAATCCGCAAAAAAGTTCAATTTAATTATATTACTAAATCACTATTTCAAAATGGAAACAATGTTTAGACAGACCTATACAACGACTCTGTAAAATATTCCATATTTTTTTTCAACTTTGCATTATATTTGCTTTAAAAAATTATAAATAAATATTTTAGAACCACCCTAGAATATTAAATTTTATAATACCTTATTTTGAACAGGATTTTGAAAACAAAATGTTGATTCCGGAGCATAAACTAACTCAAATAGTATGTTGATTACAATTTAAAACAAAAAATGTAATTATGACCGGTTTTTGTATGGATTCGCCCCACTGGTCTACGTGGTGGAGCTTATTACTCTCGCTAGTGGCGCATATAACCCAGTAAAAAATAAAAAAAGTACAATTTTATGTTTTTTTTTTTTTGTAAAATTATTTCTTCGGATATAGATTTTTACATGATGACAGGCAAACAGATATAACACTCACAATCACATTCATCGCAAATATGGTTTTAGTTGGGAATGTGCTCGTATTTGTTATGGTGGCGCCACTTAAGCGTTAAGCAAGCTATACCACATTTCGAACTTATCAGTGATGCCAGTGCTTTTTTATGTAAATTTAGTAGATGTCAGCTCTTGAATGTGATGAGTGGCCAAGGCATCCCACTTGAGACCAGGGTTACTTCCACTCACTTGCTATAAAAAAATGTTTTTCGGAATTATGAAATCATGATATAGTATAATGCTAATTAGTACTTGTAAGTTACAAGAAGAGGTCATGAAGTATATGTTTCACACATAAAATCTGTCAATATTGCTTTCAGTGCGTCACAATCAGCGATTTTACGACTCGTGAGCGCTCACTCTGAGTGAACACTCACATATCATAAGATCGCTAATTGTGACGCTCTTAAAGCGAAATTAACAGGTTTTATGAGTCAAATACATACTTTACACCCTCTTCCTGTTACTTACAAGTACAACATAGCATTATAACATCTAATGATTGCATAGTTTCGAAAAATATTTTTTTATAGCAAGTGAGTGGAAACAACCCCCCCCCCACATCTGTCGAAAACATAAAAAAATGGTTACATATTAATTTGAGAACAAATTGTTTTTATGACTGTAATATTCTATCAAAGTTTACTAGTTTACCATGAATATCATTGATTGATACATATTATAATTGTTTGCTGTGTACACATTAAAGTGATGAGCGGTGTTAGAAATGGCATCATTAGTGATGCATTACCACGTTTGAAAACATGTTTCCAGCAAACTAAACAAACAAAACAAATCCCTGCAATAAGTCTGAGTTTCTGTGAATATCTCCGACGAATCCGTATTTCTGTAAAATTCAATCAAACCGACATCACTGTCTTGTATCTGTTTGTTTTTATTCAACACAACTGCACCATGGTGTGCCGACAGATCAAGGAAAAAGCAACTAGTGAAAAAATTGCATGAACGAGGGATGCTCTGGTTGCAAACCAATGCTTGGTAATGTGCATGACAGAGGGTGCTATAGTGTCCATGCAAAATACACTTGACGATATTTTTGAAAAATTTCTTTTTAAGAGTTATGTCTGTTTGTCTGTGACGTTACTGTATCATCAAGAAGGTTCATGAATGCACTGAAATGAAATGTATATTTTTCATCAATAAGTAGCGAAAATCGATCATTTCCTTAGGGGGCGCGTATTACCCCACGTTCCGCAACGAGTTTAGTTGGTCTCTGTTCGGTTAATCTTGGTACAAGTTATACGCGAGTACGCAAAGTAGAATATGCTATGACTAGAGTCGGTGTATAATGAGTCACGCCAAGAGAAAAACAGTTGAACTCGCATCACGGTTTATGAAAGATTCCCTTTATTTTAACTTGGCAACAGAGGACTTCTGCATCAACTTCAAATTACTTCTAGCGAGGAAAAAAAATTAACGGCTCTAGTAAATCATTATATCAGGGATTTTGTCGAACTATCTTAAAGAAAAATAGTAGAAATTGTCATTACTGATCATTACAAAACGTATCGCATGATAAATGTAATGCTCACTGCGTGTATATGATCATTTCTTCGATTATATTTAATATTTAATTGCAATACCTTTTGCGGACCTTTCATAGCATCGTAATGCTTGTTTACTTTGCACGATAGGTAGCCGGTTTGACAGTTCAATAGGTAGACTTGGCTTCACTCTTGGCGTGACTCATTATACACCGACTCTAACTATGACGTGTGTGCGATATAGAGTCTACACGGTAACCGCAAAATACCCAATAATGACTACAAGTAAGCATTTTCGAGGGAGACTGGGACCATTGAATGAGTAAAAATATTACCCATTTATGAGTATTTGTTATTCAAAAATGAGTACTTACTACTTGTTTTTGTAGTTGTAATTACTCATAAATGGGTAAAATTTTACT